AAGATGCGCGTTAAATATCGCATGCGATTTATCGTGCAGCCCTAATTAGGATGATAGAGCAAGGATGATTTAATGTCACTGCTGTGCGTCACAAGCGCGTGTCGCATGGGTTCGAGCCGGAGGCACGACAGCGATCCGGACCCCTGAATTACACACCTCATAATTGATGCATGTCTCCCGGACATGCAGTAGAAACACAAACCTCACTGACTATCAACATTAGCAATTACATAATAGCTCCCCTCCCACTACTTGCTATCAATAAAAGATGTTACTAAGTCTGTAATCTAACGTCAAAACAGTCACCACTCCTCCACAACCTTCAAAACAAAGCAGATTGAGAGAGAAAAGACAAGTTTGTTGACTGGATGTGGAGACGGTCAGAGCCTGAGGCAAAGGTGTGTTCCTGTGGTGTCAAACTCTAAACTGGTTGAACGAGCAAAAAACACACAATTATGTGAGGCGAGCTCACTTAACTCATGTGGTGTTACCTGTACCGTGGGCGCCGCCCTTCTACCGCCCTGTCAGTAGCAACTCAAATCATAATCGTCAAGTGATTGTTTAGGTCTCACCACAAGTTTCACTACTTTTGTCCAATACTCTCCTTACCGGTTTTTCACAAATAGCTAATAAACATACTCATCTCTCAGCAGTTTCGCATCATAACCTCTGCAGAAACTAGCTGTATTTGGTAGACTAGCTTGTCAGATGGGGTTGAAAGAACTAGATTTGTGTTTATATAGGTAGGTAATGGAAGCCTGTTTCCTCCATTGAATGAAAAATAAAAAAGGTAATTGCGACTATTTATCTCGCAATCCTGGCTTTTTTTCTCAGAATTGCGTGACACAAACTGAATTGTAAGTTATGAAGGCAGAATTGCGAAATATAAAAAAAGTATATATTTCGCAATTCTGACTTTATTTCTCGCGATTTCTGTTTTATCTCACAGTTGCGAGGAACTGGACTTTATAACTCGCAATTGCGAGAAGAAAAAAGTCATAGAAAAAAGTCAGAATCGCGAGATATAAACTCA